AAATAAACTCAGGATACATATATAATACTTAAATCTGTAACTTCAAATTATCATGGAATTCAAGAATATAACGCAGAATTCCAATAATTCTAACTACCTTAGGGAAGTCAAGTCGTATGTGCAACGTAAAACACCTATTGCTCAATATTAGCAGTAACTCAAAGAATTCAACAAATCAGATACATTCAAATGATATATGGTGCTTCCAACTTTTGGGAATAAGGACAACGTATACGTATCACTTTCAGTTAAACAGCAAGATTTGTTGTTAAAATCTACCCATCATGATAAATGTCTGGTGAAATAGAATCAGAAGTTTGCCATCTTTACTCTCATACTCTGAATTTGTTGAATTCTTTATCATCATTATTAGTTGAAAATTAAATCATTAAATAATATCTTCAAGAAAATATTCTCGAACATCAAATGTTCTTCATTTGATTTTTACTATTAAAGAATATCAAAAAATGACGAAATAAAGTTGCAACAATTGAGGTTCCAGAGTTACAAAAATAAACAAATTCTTTTCTAAGTTAAATATTTGAAGGTATTAAACATTCGAATAACTTGTAATGAAAGAAAAGCATTAAGCGCACCAGGAACATATATTTTTTAAAGTATAAGTAGAAGTTCACAAATTCTTATCCTCTTTCAGACCGTATCATATACACTGGGCGAGAACTGCTATTAACACTGAAACTAGGACCGCATTCGGATCTCGATCATTGATGAAGATCATGATCTTGAGTTCAAGCCGCTCTTGGTACTGGTATTAAAAATGAGTACCTTCTTTGATATGTAGAAGAGATGTTCGAGGCTTGGTTCGACTAACATCAACGGTATTGAGCAGTGGAGTATCGATTGTAAAGCCTCAATATTTTGTCGATTGTATGCAGCAATCGGAAAAAAACAAATCAAGCCATACTAAAACGCACATTTTCAAAAACATTCGATTCACTTGCTCTTGTCGTCGAATAAACTATTCGAACGATGAGTGAGAGACAGCAAAACAACGATCATATTTGTATGAAAAAAATAAGCTGTCTCAATGATATACAATCATAAGTTATTTCATGTACATGGATGAATGCACACAAATCAAGCTTATGTTTTCGATGTGTATATAACAACATAATACTTTCATTTTTTTGCATACAACAACGTTAATACATTACATCATTATATTGATTGTTAGCACACAAGGTTTCATACGAATACAGCGAGCAGACGTAAGTACTTTGAAAGTGCAGTCTCTTGAGAAGGTCTTTTTCATCGTAAATGTTCAGCAGATTTTTCTATTCTTTAATAGTACTGCTAACCGTAAATCGTATTATTTTCTTATCATAATAATTATTTTCCTGGCAACGAATACGTTCCAAAGTTCAGTATGAAATATATATATATCTGGTATCAGTTACTATAAAGCTACTCTCTTCACAAAGAGTCTGCAGCAAAAACTGTTAGTCCGTTTTGAGAAGTCCACCGTAGAAAACAACTGCTCAGAATTGTATTCTTTTATCATTCTAAAGGGTTTGGCCTTACACTCTGGCGAAGCAATGTACGTCATAATGAGTTCCAATGTAAAAGAATATATATTAATGGACTCGATGAAGAAAAAGGACCTTTTGTTGGTATCGGAATCCTATATCTTCTACTATCTAGACAGATGTCTGAAATTAATTAGGCTACAAGGGACATTTTAATTTCTATTGAGCGTCAGAATGTACTACTGCCGCAGTCAACAATGTGGAGAGGATATAATAAGAACTTATTTTTTTTCTGACTCATTTGTGAATTAGAGGACATGTTTGAAAAAATAAATAGACCATGAAATCTTCCGAGTGGACACTATATTCAAAGTGCTTTAGCTACTAGAACTCTTCTCCGTATTGCTTGGCCATAACGAGCAATTACAAGCACTCAGTAATTGTATTTGTGTATGATTTGAAAGCGCTCGACTGAATCTAGTAAATCATATGAGAACACATTAGAAAAAAATATTGACCAATAGAACATCATACAGGACATTCTAATTTAAATACTTCTACAACTTGCATAGTTTCAAAGGCTTTTTCGTCTATTTAAAAACAATTCTACATTCGCTTAGTCAATGTCTATCTCATTTGAAAGCTCTCTGTCAATCGTGGAAGCAAAGAATGATGCGTAATTTAAAAAAGAGAAACAGCATATTACCAATTACTAATGGTGCTGTTAGCAACTATACTAAAAGAATCTTAGAAGTCAAAAAGTGGCTTCCATCTGTTGATATACCCGTCAGAGAGGAGTACAGCATTGGTGGACTTTGAATTTATTACGTTTCATATGACAGAAATAAAACTGGCGATGCCACATAACTAGAATGGCTTCAAATATGACTTAGGGACTAATAGTGATACCGCTAGTTGAGAACCCTCTCAGTAAGATGTGTTACATATTCGGAATATCGATGATGGTGGAGAAGTTTAGGAAGATGAAAAACTATCGATAAATAGACGATTTCTTTATAACACGGGTATACATAACATCCGCGTATGTTCGTCTTGCCTTCTGCACCCATCCGCAGTTATGATATGTGCCTATCTATGTGCGTGTGTCCCTATTTCATACCATTTCTCCCAGAGAGAAGGGACATTTCCTGCATCCCCTACACTTCTCCAACATGTCCTATTCCCTGGTTATGAGACACTGTTGAGCAAAAAAGGAATACTAGCTAAGAAAAAACGAGCGACGATGATCATTTCGCTCCTTTTATGTCGTCATCTGTGCTAATGGCTTGTTCTCGAATGCTTTTTCGCATGCTTCTGCTACAGCTGTTGTCTATCTGTCTGTCTATCATTCAATTACTTCTTTTCCTTTTCCCACTTCTGAGAATCTTGCAAGATTAGTAATGTGGGTGCGCAATCAAAAACAAGAGTTTTTCAACAAAAGTCAACTGCTCGATGATAATGACGATGACTTCTATATTTTTGGCATCGATTTAAAGACCACATCTGAGTGTGGCTAAATGAAAAGGCATTCAGATGGAATGATGTCACTATTGATTTCATCGATAAAATGCCAACCTTGCAGACTCATGTTAAGGTGAATACGGATTCCACTCTTGTGGGAAATATGCAATTGAGTCTACGATTGATTAGGTTCTATGATGCTCTCATTCATGAGCATAAGCACATTCAGTTTTGCTCTCATCAAACACCTTCAAACTTCATGCACTCGTAGAATCTGATACGCTGATCATGGTGAGTGGGAAAATGTTATGAAAAAGTCTCTATTGTTGATGAAAAAACTTCAAAATATGCTGATAGAGCCTGAGAAACAGATAAAAACACTAGTGTGGGAGTCTGCTGATTGGAAGAATAATGTCGTGCTCATTTTAGAATCGAAATCTAGAGCTTCATACATTTTTCGATTGACCACATGGATATCAAACTGTTAAAGCCACACCCTTCTTTTTCGGGTTTTCTCAAGAGTAGTGCAATGAAAAATCTTAAAACTTTCAGAGCAGATAGATCTTGGGAAGTCTACTTTAAGCTGCACTAGAAATGTCTCAGAGACACAAAGTACAATCGAGTTTAACCTTTCTACAGATAATAGCCATTGTTTGAGATGGATTTGTTTTGTTGTCCACCTGTTTCTACTTCAAAAAAATGACATTTCTCCCGAAAGATATGCATTCTCGCTGAACTTTCTTCTGAAAATGAAAAACTCATCGGATCAAAAGCTGCTTGACTCTATTTGTTTGGTTGCTTGACGAGGTAAAAATAAGTGAATCATTCCTAGTCGAATAATTTATGTAACAGCTGAATAAGTATCCCTTAGAGTGCAATTTGTCCCCAGAGCGAAATAATATTATGATTGAAATCTGCGTAATTCTTTTTGATTTTTCTATATTGAGGGAGAAATGAATGAATCGTTTCGATTTGAAATATTTACATAAGTGTTGAATAAAATTCAGATACAATAGACTTTGTTCTAAGAGTGAAAAATAATCATATGATTGAAATCTGCGTAATTCTTTTTGATTTATTCATATTGAGACAGAGATGCATTAATCGCTTTTAATGTAAATATTTACATTACTGCTGAATGAAATCCAGGTACAGTACCATTGGTCCCCAGAATGAAATAATAGTATGATTGAAATCTGCGTAATTCTTTTTCATGTATGATTATCAAGGTAGAAGTGGATAAATCATTTCAACTTGACAAATATATATATAGGCTGAATAAAATCGATTAGTACTATTATTTTTTCTGAGTGTGAAATATTAATGCGAGTGAAATCTGCTCAGTTCCTTTTGATTTTTTCTGGTTGAGGTATAAGTCGATGAATAATGTCACTAGTGTGCGTATTTGATTTTCTCTACTTTGAATGATCATAAGTAATGTATGTTATTTCGTTAAAAATGTTTCTACTTGAGTTTTTGAGGAATAACGGACATCTACTCTAAATGGAATGAGTGTCCTAATTTTTGAAGATATTTTTCAGTCCTCGTTTCTTGGTTTTGGTGGACTCTGTGAGTTCTTTTACTTCTATGTTATCTTATTTAAGTGTTTAAGTGACTGTTCGAATTCCGAAAAGTTCACTTTCGTTTGCTGTTCCAACATTCACATTGCGGGTAATTATGCTGAGGTAGAAATATCAGGGTGTGGTAGTTTCCGTGTATAGTATCATTTCGAATACATATCTTATGTTAGGTTTTATTTGAAAAGTTTTCAGAAACGATTAATAGTTCATACTAAAATATTTCAAAATCAAAAATTGACATCAGATGCGAATCGTCCACTCATGATGACTCTTAGGCGGAGTTTCATTGAATATTGGAAATTTTTGTGCTCATACTACCCGATATTTTTACCATACAGTATTCGAGCTCAATGATATTCTGTAGAATTATTTATTTCATATGAACCGACTGACCAAGTTTTACGCCGCTTCCTCATTGATTTAAAGATAACCAAGACTTTGTTTTCTAACTACATAGATTAAGAAGTTGATCATGAGCCTGAATAAAATCTGGTTACTTATATTTTTAATTGCTCCAATAATTGGCGAATGTGAAGCGATCAATAATAAATTGCCTGCTATCTATTATGGTAATCAAGGCTGGAATATGAACCAAGTTCAATCTTTTTCGTCGTGGATTGGCAAACGTCCTATGGTGATTTTACTTTTTACTGATTGGTGTAATACATCAATGAATAACTTGTTTACTTATCAGCTGAATAATATTTGGAATAATGGAAGTATTCCAGCAATTACATGGGAACCATTTGGTTGTGGTGGTAGCAGTCAACCGGGTATCATGAAACTAGTTCAAAACCAAACTTATGACATATATATAAACCAATTTGGAGATCGTTTAAAAATATGGTTAGCCGGGCCTGATGGTATTTTCGGCAATGGTGATGATCGAAGGGCATACCTTCGATTAGGTATGATATCCATCCCAAAACTCGTAACGTGTGTTTGTCGAGCTAGGAAGCAACATAACTTAAATGATATATATATATTTATTTATCATTAATTATCGGAAAACAGAGAGATTGGGGATTTCATTGAAAAAGTAATCCAAGCAAAAACGAACTTTCAATCGTACTCATCAATAAAAGTTCTTTCGGTCTTCTCAAAAGAGATGAAATTAAAAAGAACCTTAAGTAACTTTTAACTAGTGTTTTATATCAAGAGACATTTAGAGAAGCAGCATTTCTCTCCCTCCGCTTACTTGAAGCTTCAAATTGCTCGTTTCGAAAACAAAGCCTGCATGCAGCATCGGTTTCCATGTTTTCATACTACACTGATAATCGTAGATTGTGAATTATTTTACTAATTCCTAAAATCGATACTTAGATCAGACGCCTCAGCTGTCAAGAGTATGAGCATCGGTATAGATTCGGATGTGATTGATTCATTGATACGATAGTGTTACTATTTGCGTTCCTAGGTACCAACATAGTTTCTCGGATGCCATTAGACTAAAATTATCACCAGCCCAGACTGTACCAGCTGTGAATTTTTCATGTTTCAAGAAGATACTTTTGCATAAATTCGTACAAACCTCATGAAAATACTTAAAATAGTATCTCTAGTTCAATTGTCTGGTTCAAAATGTTGTTGATTGATTTACACGAAATATATACAAATGAAAACTAACTAACTTACTTAATAAATAATTTTTATCGTATGATTTTAGCTCATGAAATGAATGGAAACTGGTATCCGTGGTCGATGGGTTCAACTCCACAAGATTTTATATCGGCATGGCGTCGTATACATGACATATTTACAAATAAAAGTTTAGATTCAACGAGACTTCAATGGATTTGGTGCGTGAATAATGCTGATGTTGGAAGTTATAGAGCTGAGAATTATTGGCCGGGACAAAATTATGTTGATTGGATGGGAATCGATGGATACAATTTTGGTACAAGTCAAAGTTGGAGTTCATGGGTAACTCCGAATCAAGTTTTCGATACAATGTTCACACGTTTACAAAACTTATCTTCAACAAAACCAATATGTATAAATGAATATGCATCAACAAGTTTGCGTATCGGAAATATTTCCAATATAACAGCAAAAAATGATTGGTTACAACAGTTTTGCACCTACATGAATAATAAACAAATTAGAATGGCTTCATATTTTAATACAGAAAAAGAAACTGATTGGGCAATATTTGGTGGTGTACGTGGAAATAATGTGTGGGGTAATTTCAGTGTCTATACTGCATATCGAGATTGCCTTCAATCAACTGATTGGATATTGCCAAACAGTACAAATGCAAGGCTCATCAGTGATGCGCAATTCGCTGGTACAAGTTAGAAGAATTGAAATAAATAAAATTAAGAACTGAAACCAAACAAAATAAATTTTTCGAAGAACTTGTGTGACAAAATTGCTAATCCATCAGAACGTCTGTTATTTTTTTTCTTTTCTCTCCTTTAAAATAAATAACATCATAAATATAGATATACATCGATATACATTCACAAGGAGAGGGAGAGAGAGCACCATAAAGCACAGAGAAAAATGAACACATGTTATTCGTTCTCTTCGTAGGTTGATGACAAAACAGGCTTCAAAAATGAAAAAGAAGAGAAAAACATAATATAAATTGAGCAAGATGCATGTTGGCTTACAAGAAAATAAAATCGAATATATAAGTAACATCAATGCATCTATCAACGATTATCACTATATATCGCAGATAAACTATTACATTAACAGAAGTCTGATAATATTTTTTATCTCAAATAGATGATTCGCTATTTTACTCTAGTAATTGCAATAATTTTCGGAAATTAAAACATAAACAAATAAGAATTTTTACGAGATCCAAACGTTGTGTTATTCCATTATTGGTTTTGTACAGCAATAAGACTAAATACTAATACCTTGAGTTTTCTCTCATTGTTTAGATGAGACGTTATTTAATCTGACATGTTAAACATATTTTATCTGATATGTTTTGTAAAACGAAGGGCTTAAGTGAAAGTTCGACTAAATGAGTCGTAAAAGTGTACTTATGGTAGTATCTTGGGTCAATCTCACTTATTTTTTTCTCAGCATATATCAAATTAATTTATTATGCAAGTAGTATACTCTTGATCATCATTACGAATCAAATCATTATCCAGTAACCAACATAAGTGCAAATAAAATTGAGACCGACCAAGGTCCACCACAAAAATCAAATGAATTGTCATCAGTATCGATTAAAATTATGAACGCTTTGTTTATTATTGAAGTTTGTATTGAACTAATTGTAACGAACTATTTAACTACAACACATACTTTCTTGTGCTACTATGAAAAAGATATCATTCTGTCAAAATTTGGTTTTATTCACCTTCAGACTTCAAAAATATTGCTCGTTTTAATCTATTATGTTCTTATCTAAACTGTAACAGAACAATTTGTCGCCCAAGCCTGAACGTCAAAAATTTCATTCTAGATAAGAGTAAGTTTTTTTCTTATGCCTTCAGTACACACCAACAAGAAGCAGAGTTTGTCGATGTTAGGAAGACCTTTTCATTGCTAAAAAGATCTACAGGGTTTTATAATCACTATAATATATTTCGAAGTCTGATAGTTTCGATCTGGCATGTAGTGAATCCAGAAATATGTTTGTTTATTGTTAGTTCACGCTGCAACTGGTAGCAAATTGTCATCTTTTTTACAAATAATGCATCAGAAGAAAGAAAAGGTGGATATACTTGGCCGATTAAATATCTGGCATTGATCATCATTTCAAGAGTTCATTCAATGGCAAAATTCAAAAATCATCGCTGATATTGCTTCAGTCGATCGTTTGCAGAGGCTAGCACACAAAATTGTTCAGCATTGTCCTGAACTTCGTTGCAAAAAACATGTTTTCAGTATCAAAACAAATGGTGTTGTTGGTAAGTTGAATATCGAATTGACGTTCATAACATTTTTTCTAATTTTGTATAACTTATCTAATATAACAGATACCAATGATAGAATTCTTATCATAGGACATAAGTTAATGCTTTCGATTTTAACTTTTGGCTTTCAATTCATTCAACAAGTTCATGAAGGGTCAAGTAAACTTCCACGAACTTGCGCACTGTTCTGTCTTTTGAAAATAACCAGTGGTAAAGCCTCAAAATTACTCAATTGTATTGTTGTTGATGATGGAATGTTTTCTCTACCAAACTCAATATTAAACAAATTTATATGGCTTGAGGGTGTGTAGGTGTGATTGCTAAGTCTTGAGTGAAGAGAAGATTCTTAACCTTAGTTCACCTCGTACCCCACACCCACACTTCTACACAGTCTGTCACAGCTTCACGAGCCATTCCTGATACTAAACTTGTCGAACTGCTAATAGAAAGACCCAATTTCTATCATTCACACGGTGGCAATCATATGAAATTTACAATTTCAGGTTCTATTACAATTTATGTGGTTGTTCAAAGAAGTCTTATAAATATTGGCATATTAAGACCTATGCTAAGTCATGTCACAAGGATGGTTTACATTGCAAAAAGACAAATTATCGACACGCTATTTGGTTAATTATTTTCTATTTACACTTGTTTTTTGTTTTTTTTTACTGAAGTTCATGTTATTAAATAGTTGTATATTGATCGTTTTTCACAAAGCTTACAGTACAGATACAGGGTTAGAAATAAATAGTTGAACTAGATGATAGGAATCAAGATAAGGTAATAATTAGTACAAATTTAAGAACGATAAGATAACTATTATTACTAATAGTATGAATAGTTGTCTTTTGTTGTGTAATTTTTTATATGAGATCAATGAGAAAACAAAATAACGAGGATTTAACAGACGAAACGTTTTCGATAATATGGAATGCAGTTTATTGGGTAAGAATACGGTCCTAGAAAAAGAAAGCACTTTTGAACGCTTATTTAAAAAAGCAGAACATTTTCGAACCCATTCTCAGTAAAAAGAAACCTGTCTCTTCTAAAGTAAAACGCAATCTTAGTAAATAAGAATTTGCTGTGTCGATATGAAATATCGATTCGACGATGTCTTCTTTTTAATAGTGGCATCACATACCTCTGTCCTATCCCTATTGAATGTCATTTGAAAAACATAAGAACTTCCTTCATTAGTTACGAGGTACATTAAGCATATTCCATGGCGACTTACTGAAGAATGGTATTGATTAATTTCAACACACGCTGATCATTTATCTCGCGTTGTCTTTTCGACACAAAGAAAAGATAATAGTAACAAACATGAATCTTGTGTAATATTTTTTGAAGGTATCCTACGGCGATTCTTAGTTTTGTCAACAGAAATCATTTGGCCACAAAACTTATTGTTGATCGCTGTTCTGCGTAGTTTTCAGGAACACAAAAGGGTAGTGTGGATGTGGACATTATTCAAAAGAAGACCAACAACTACACCCACACCCTTTATTATCTAAAGCTTTACTTTTTAGTTGAATAAACATATCTAATAATATCATATAAATCGTTAAAATATTCCCTGTCTTTAAGTCATTAATATGCCTTAAACAGATTATTTGTGTCTATTTTGTCCTTTGCCAAACCTGTTCCAAAGTTATTCTACACTATTTAGACACATCCACAATCAAAGACCAAGAATAGTCACCTTTCAGTGTCCAATGTAAGTTAAGTGCATTTTTTTCTTGTTTCGTACTGATCAACAACTCAGTTTCAACAGATTTGCACATTTTTATACTCTTGTTTATCTTGTACTACGTGAATATCATCTTCTTCCTCAGAAAGTTGTACAAGCCATGTCACGTAACATCTGTACTTTGTTTAATATGATTATTAAATTGATTAGAGCAAAAGTGCAAGTGAAAAGAGTGCTTCTTACATTCTATCAAAAAAAACTTGTTCTATATGCTTCACAATGCTGAACTATTGCAAGTTATAATCGATAATATTAGTTCATTAGCAACTCGCTAAACTAAAGACAAGTCGATACATTAAATCAAATATTTCTCATCCAACAAACTCAAATGCTCTGTTATTCAAAATTATATTGACATGAGATAACAATTACGAATCCAATAGGTCTTTAAAAAGATTCATGTAAATTTACGATAATCAGTGTATTGTTAAAAGAAACTATTGAACAACGTCGCTTGACTTATGCAAAAACTGAACAGCGCACATAATATTTCATTGATGGGATTTATGATTCATCGAGCAAACTCCCATTAGTCAAAAAGCAGCACCTAACCTATTTTCATCTTGCTGACTATACCAGTTAGAAATTAGATGTGTCCTAATTATTTCCGATCGTATTTCATGATATCATCGATCATCTGACCGTACTCCTCTTATATATTATTTTAGGCAAAATTATTGGTTACATCTACGCTAATCCAATTTGAAAATCATGGTTATCTTATCTATCGATGGATTATATAAGCAATTTCATTCTCTGATGATCAAATCTTTGCCTGATTATGTAATACCAAAAGTCCATGTCATAACTGAATATGATTATTCTATTGAAAAATACGAACTCCTCATATTGAACTGCGGCATTCTTTGAAGCTTAACTTTTATACTTCAAGCAACTTGCTATCCGTATATTTAACTTTAAAAATCCTTCATTGACTGTTTTGAAACACCATCTATTATGTCATTGTTTATCAAGCAATGCCATCGTCATCCAGTTGGTTTTTAACTAAAATGTGTATTTCTGTGTTTTAGACGAGTATCTTGAAGGTACAACATTGACTTTACTTCCATATAATCATATTATTCATATATTTCTCTCGAATTCAGGATCCTGTAAAATATATCGATTTGCGTACGAAGTTAATCTCAAAACGAAATGAATAACATGAAAACAGTGATGAAACTACAGATAATTTATTTCATTAAAAATTATCCTTGTCATCATTCCAGTTATTGATGCATTACAGAAGAATGGTATACTAGATTCATCTGTCTTAAATAAAAACAGAAAATCAAATAACGATATAGATCAAAGAACAGAATCTGGTTTTTCATCAAATATCATTTGTTCTAATGATAATGATAATGTTTATACTAAAGTTATGTTGCCTACAGATGAAGAAGGTTCATAGTTAACTATAAGAATGCAACATGACATTGCCGATAATAATATTTCAAAATTTAATCTACATAAGGCCATGTGTGAAGAAGTATTATCGCTTCTCTTTGATGATGCATCAGAATCCCATTATCTGTCGTAAGTTATTATTCGTAATAACATTTTTCATGTTTTCATTTATTTAAATGTGATTACCCAAATAATGATGAGTATATGACTATGGCTAAATGTATAGTAAAGAAACTGTGTGAACATTCGCCATT